CCCAACATCCTGCCCCCCCCCCCCGGCCTGGCTGTGCAGTGACTTACCCCGGAGCTCTGGGCGAGGCAGTGGCAGTAGGGCTCTACGCCAGGGTTCCCGCTAATGTTTTACATCCATGTGCAGAATTAATTTTGTGTGTGACCCATCACCTTCATATTGGTGCACATAACAAAGTTCATGTGGTGGGGTGGGGCTGAAGGGTTCAGGGTGCAGGAGGGGCTCAGGGCTGGGGCAGAGGGTTGAGGTACGAGGGGAAGAAGGCTCTGGGGTGAGGCTGGGGATGAGCGGTTTGGGGTGTAGGAGGGGGCTCAGGGCTGGGGCAGAGGATTGGGGTGCGGGAGGGGCTCAGGGCTGAGGCAGAGGAGTGAGGTGCGGGAGGGGGGCTCAGGTCTGGGGCAGAGGACTGAGGTGCGGGAGGGGGGCTCAGAGCTGAGGCAGAGGGTTGGGGTGCAGGGGGTGGGTGGGCTCTGGGGTGAGGCCAGGGATGAGGGGCTTGGGGTGCAGGCTGCCCCAGGGCTGTGGCGGGGAGAGGTGCCTCTCCCCAGCCGTGGCAGTTCCAGTGGGGCTGAGGGAGGGGCTCCTCTCCCCATCTGGCCGCGGTAAGTCTGGGACAGGTCCATGCTGGGGCCAGCAGGGAGGGGCATCTCTCCCCGCCACAGCCCTGAGCCCCCGTGCGCGGCCGCGCGGCTTCGAGGGAACGCAGGTCTCCGTGTGGCAGAAGATGGTGCCAATGGGGCGAAGGCCTGGCTGGGCGAGGGGGCTGGAGGGGTCCGACAGCCCATGTGGTGCATGGGGCAGCGGTGGCCTGTGGAACTTTCTGCTGCAGGAGCCGGGAGGCAGAGCAGCTCAGGTGCTCGCAGCGTGTGGGAGGGCAGCGGGGCAAGCGCATTCTGGGCCTTTGTGCTCTGCCCACATCTACCTTTGCGCTTCGTGTCTCTCCCTCCTCGGCTGCTTCCGGTCACCTCGTCCCATCCGCCCTGGGCGCTGGGACCCCCTGCCACTGGCGGGCTGCAGAGGTGCCCACGCGGCTCGCTTACCCAGCACTGCACCGCTGGCCCGGGGCCAGGCACGGGCCGAAGCTGCTCAGATTACCTGCCCGTTGTGTGAGTTCATGGAAGGCCAGGCTGGTTTGTGATTGGGCCGGGCCAGGCCGGACTCCCGGGCACGCTCCCCCCGGGCCGGGGCCGGTGCTGTGCCATTGGGCAGATCCGTACCACTCTCTGTGAAGAGGGGGCTCGGGCAGCCTGGGCACTGACCCCGCCATGCAAGGTTGGGGGGAAGGAAATTACCCATAATCCCTCAGCCCCACCCAGGCTCCCTGCCCCACAGTGACCCCCATGCTTCTGGTGCACCCATGTTCTCCCCACAGCACTGCTCCCGCTCCCCTGGTCTCGCCCCCTGCCCGCCCCTCCCCCGTCGGCAGTGCCACTCATGCTGGCTGAATCCAAGCGGTGCGGTCCCAGCCCTCGAGTCTCCTCTGGCTCCAGCCTGTGGGTGTCTCCATCTGCCAGCCCCCCAGTGCGGGTGGGGGGAGAGGGGGGAGGGCCTCGGATGCCAGGGCTGGGCATGCAGCGGGGAGGGGCAGGGCTGGAGAGGAAGTTTCCTGCTGCGGTGGGGGGGCAGGGCATTGCATGGCACTGGACACTGGGCGGGGGCAGTGCCCTGGTGTGGGACAGGCAGGGCACTGGGGCGGTGTGGAGGGGAGGGGGCTATGCATGGGGGGGGCAGTGCCTTGGGGGGAGGGTCTGTGCAGCCTGGGGCAGCGCCTGGTGCGGGGGGGAAGGGGCTGTGCATGGGGGGCAGCACCCAATGGGGAGGGGCGTCTGTGCAGGCTGGGGCTGGGCCCGGTACGGAGGGGAGGGGGCTGTGCATGGGGGGCAGTGCCCGGGGGGAGGGTCTGTGCAGCCTGGGGCAGCGCCTGGGCCCGCTCTTTGTCTGGTCACATTGGAGCCGGGGGCTGAATCAGGGAATTGCTTGCGGCGCTTGTCGGGGCGCAGGAACCCCGTGGGCTCCCCACTGCCAGGGAGGCGAGTGTCCTGGTGCCCTGGTGCGGTGGGCTGGGATTTGAAGGGTCCCTGCGATTCCCCCCATCCCTGCAGCTGGGCTGGAGCAGAGTCCAGGACCATCCGGATCAAAGGGGGGTGTGGGGGGGGGACACACAGCCTGGGCTGGGGAGGAGCCTGTGTCCTGAGCTGCCAATCTGGGAGATTTGGATTTGGGGATTAACGTTGATCTCCCTTATGCCATTATCTGTGTCTCGGGGAGGAGGGGTGCTCCCGGTACTGCCAGCTCTGCACTGGTTCAGGAACTGGGGGGCAGGCTGCCTGGACGATGCTTGGTATGCCCGGGTCCTGTGGGAATGGGGGAGCAGTCTACGCCCCGTCTGGGTTTGGGCTCTGCTGGTGAAAGGGGGGGGGCTGGGAACGCCCGCAAGAGCCACAAGCAACATGAGGGCCGGGCTGGAAGGTGGTGGGGGTCGCATCCTTGGGCTTGGTGGTTACTAGGCCTGGCAACAGCATCCTGCTTGAGGGGCTAGGGCAGGGGTGGGCAAACTTTTTGGCCCGAGGGCCACATCTGGGTGGGGAAATTGCATGCAGGGCCAGGGCAGGGGGTTGGGGTGCAGGGTGCAGGAGGGGTTCGGGGTGCAGGCTCTGGCCCGGCTCTGGGGTGGCAGCGGCGCGCAGTGGGTATATGGCAAGATCCCTGTCTGCCCTGACCCTGCGCCGCTCCCAGAAGTGGCCAACATGTGAAGCAGTGGCTCCCGGGGGTGGGGCGGGGCAGGCGGCTCCGCCACGTGTTGCCCTTGTCTGCGGGCACCACTCCTGAAGCTCCCGTTGGACGTGGTTCCCCGTTCCCGGCCAATGGGAGCTGCGGGGGGGGGGTGGCTGCAGGCGAGGGCAGCGCACAGAACCCTCTTCTCCCCCCTCAGGGGCCGTGGGGCCGGCCGTTTCCAGGAGTGGTGTGGGGCCAGGCAGGAAGCCTGCCTTAGCCCCACTGTGCCATGGGGCTGGCAATCCCACGGGCCGGATTGAAAGCCCTGACAGGCCGGATCCAGGCCGTAGTTTGCCCTCCCCTGGGCTAGGGGCTCCTGCTGGCATGGCCCTTGCTGGGCCGCGGGCTGGGGGGCCCTCAGTGCTGATGGTTGGGGACCTGTGGAGCTGGGGCATGTGAGGGATGAACGGGGCTTGTTAGCCCTGCCTTGGGGGGCCCCCAGGGAGGGGTGGGACCTGGGGTTGAGGCCAGGGCTTGTGATTTCCCCCTCCCCTGCTCTGGGCCTCTGGGGGCTAACTTGACTGCCCCTCCCGGGATGAGTCCAGGGGGCCACGAAGCTGCCCTGGGCCCACATGGCCCTTCCCCCCCCACCCCGGAAGCTCAGGCGGATGAGGAGCTGGGGGAGGGGATCCCAGCTCCGCAGATGGGGAATGTGGTGATTCTGCAAATGCCCCAGGCTCCACAGAGTGTCCCTCAGCCTCCTGGGGGTGTGGGGAAAGGTGTCCAGCTCGGGGCCGGGGGACCAGTCTGCAGTGGGGAGCGAGATGTGTTGGAGGGGAGGGGTCCGCGGGGGCAAAGTACAGCAGCTAGTGCCCCCGCTCGGACGCCTGCCAGACACCAGCGCCTCCCCCGCTTCCCCCACTAATCATCTCCTCATCTTGTGAGCGCCATCCCAGCTGGAGAGCTGGGTGGTTGCCATGGAGACAGAGGATGCTGGTTGCCTAGATAAGCTGAAATTTCCCTGTCTTCGCCCACCAGTCCTGGACCGACTCTGCCGGCTGCCCACCCCCGCCTTTGAAGAGGGGCCGCCGTGGGGTGCAGGGGATGCAGAGGAGGGCAAAGACCGCAGGGCTTCTTGTGGGGCGGGGGCCGGGGGGAGGGGGCCTTCCCCAGCACAGCCCGGAGAGGGGCCGGTATCCAAGAAACCGTCTCCATGGAGCCCCCATCACACCCTGAAGGCTCATTGATTTGCTGCTACTGCTTTAATTCCCTCCCGCTCCCTGCCAGGGGCTCACGCAGCCCGGGAACGTGAGCAGCTCTCGCTGCATCCTGCGGGGGGCGCTGCTGCCCTAGTCCCCGGGGGCCCTGGGTAAATAGTCGCTGACTGGCCCCAGACGGGTGACTCTTGGTCCCCTCCCCCATGCCCCCGGCTCATAGGTGTCTGGCCACCACGCTGCAGGGGTGGGGGTGGTGGCGGTGAAAAGGACCTGCTCGGCAGCCAGGCCCCAGCCCCCCTCTCGTTCCCAGTCCCTGACCCCATCCCCAGCCTGTTGGCCATTGGCTGCTCCGCCAGGGCCCGAAGCCCAGGGGTGGGGGTGGCTCACCCCTCGCTCCCTGCTCACAGGCCCCCAGGTGGCTGGCACTTGGATTCCGCCCCCCGTCTTGCTGGGAGCGGCCACGTGGAGGCTTCTCCCCAGGCCTCTGGTGCCTCCCTTCCCCTGCTGGCGCTGGGACCGGTGCCCGGGTAGCTGGGGCAGGCTGAGGGGCGCTGCCGGGGGGGCTGGGCCGTGCTGCTGAGACTTGCTCTGCTCGTGGGGGAGGTGAAAGGCTCGTGCCAGTGGCAGAGACTTGCTGGGAGCTGGGCTCTGCTGGGGCCCCCCGCACCCCCCTCCACGGGAGCCCGCAGGGTCAGCGTGAGGCCACGCGGCCGGGTGGAGGGAGGGGTCATGCAGCGTGGCCTGGAGTGCCCAGTGCGGGGGTCACAGCTCCCCGCCCCCATCCCGGTTCGCCCATGGGAATCTCCTCCCCAGGGCTCAGGTCTCCACAGCTGCTGGGGGACAGGGTGTGCCAGCTTCTGGCCCATGCCCGACGCCCCCCAGCCTCGTCTTTCCCCTTTGCTATGGGGGTGGTTCCCTCCTCTGGGCGGGGCTGGCAGGTAGGGGGTGCAGGCCCCCCAGTGAGCGGGCTCTAGCGGGTGCTGCGCCTGGGCCCCCCACCCCCCGTATCCGGTGCAGGCGCCGGGGGTGCGGCTGGAGACTCACTGACCCTCACGCGCTCTCCTCCCCCAGGGCTCTGTACACCTACGAGGATGAGTCTGACGACCTGAAGCTGGCTGCATCGGGAGGTAAGGGGACCCCAGCCCCCCACTTGCTCTGCTGACCTTGCCACCCAGCCAACACCCACGGGGGTTCCCTCCCTCCTGCCAATGGGGGGCTGCACCTTGGGGGCTGCAGTTCTGGGGGGTTGAGGGAGCCTAAACACCCCTCCCCCAAAAAACTTGACAGTGGGGGGCGGGGTGGACAGACTGACTGTGCTTCCTCTCTGCCCTGCCCTGCCAGGAGGCGGCTTGCAGGAGCTCGCTGGCCACTTCGAGAACCAGAAGGTGATGTACGGCTTCTGCAGTGTCAAAGAGCCCCAGGCAGCGCTGCCCAAATACGTCCTGGTCAATTGGGTGAGTAGGGCCAGCGGGGGAGGGGGACCGGCACAGGCCCCCTGCGGGGAGGGGGACCGGCATGGCCAGGCGGGGGAGGGGGACTGGCGGGGGAGGGGGACCGGCACGGGCCGTTGCGGGGGAGGGGGACCGGCACGGGCCTGCGGGGAGGGGGACCGGCACGGGCCAGCGGGGGAGGGGGACTGGCATGGACCAGTGGGGGAGGGGGACTGGCACAGGCCTGCGGGGAGGGACACCTCCTTTGAGCCCGTTTGCAGAGCATCACATTCGGGATGATGAGGCTCAGGGTCCGGTGTGGGTTCCAGGCAGAACGAGAGTTGGTGCCTGGAGACGGGACAGGACACAAGCCAGACAGGCCCGGAGGCGCCGATGGGGAACAGGGAGGGGAACTGACCACTGGAGTTCATTGGGAATGTCCTTGCTGCAGGCCGGGGCGGATTCTGCCTTGCTTGGAGTCTGTAAATCCAGGCTGGCCCCTCTCTCTGGCTGAGCCAGGGGCTCTGTGCTCTCCGGCCTGCGTGGCCTGAACATCCAGGAATACCCACCCCACCCGCCATCTCCAGAGTCCCTGGGCTTGGAGGCTGGGCGGGGCCGTGGCGGGGCCCTAATGCACCGGGCCCCAGGGATCCTTCCTGGGCTCAGTGCCCGTCATGCTCCTGTGCTGCCACCTAGTGGACCTCTGCATCCCTCACTGGACCCAGCTGGGCTTGGGTGGAGGGGGGGTCTCCAGACCCCAGGAGTGTAGCCTGGGTGGGCTGCGCCCCACCCCACATAGCATCCAGGCCCACCCAAGTCTGAGCAGGGGTGTGGTGCCACCACAGTGGTGCGGAGCGTCACTCGAGCACCTGAGGTGCAGGACGGAGCTCTGCACCCGCCCGTCAGAAAGCGACGCTCCGACGGCTCTGCCCTGCCATTGTCTGAGCCGCCCCGCGCCCGTTCCCAGCCCGCCAGGTGACGCCCTGTCTGGGGCACCAAGGCTAGGAAGAGGGTGTCAGGGGAGACGCTGAGCAAGCACCATCTGTCATTGCCCGGCCACTCCTCACTGCGGCCCTGGCACCCCCTGCCGCCCCGTCTCACTCTGCTCCCCGTGCCCTGGCAGGTCGGGGAGGATGTGGCCGATGCCCGCAAGTGCGCCTGTGCCAGCCACGTGGCCAAGATCGCAGAGTTCTTCCAGGTCAGTGGAGGGGGCTGGATTAATTGGGGTGCAGTAACAGGCCCAGAGAGTCTGAGGTGTTAACGTGACCCTGCCGCTGTCCAAGGTTAAACAGGGTTAAACAAGGGCTGGGTTTGGTATCCAGAGCCCTGGGGCTCCTGAGTACCAGGCAAAGGTCCTGCCGAGCCCCTCCCCCACCTACCCCCCATCAACCGCCCCCTGGGGACCCTTTGCTGAAGAGACAGAAAAAGAAAAGTTTGAGCCTTTGAAAGGTGATTGTCAAGCCAGGCTTTCGTTCTGCACTGTCCCTCGTTCCCTTCCTCCGGCTGCAGTCGTGAAAGGGGCAGACCGTTGTCCGACAGCCCCGAGGCTGGGAACTGCCCGAGGCGTGAGCTGGGCTGGGCCAGAGCTGTGGGTCCCTTTCCCGTGGGGCTGGACCAAGGCAAAAGTGCAGAGGGGAGAGAAAGGAGTGACATTGAAACACGCAGTCTCCCTGGCCCAGCACGGTGAGGCCTGGCAAACGTGTACGGGCCACGGCTCACAGCAGTGCTGCGGGAGACAGTCTGGGCCAGCAGAATTTCCAATCCCCAGGCAGGAGCCTTACACACGAGGCTTTTGGGTTTGCACTGATTCCCTCCGTCTTTCCCCCTCGCCGCCAGTTGTGCTGGGACCTGCACCCCTCCGCTGGCCAGCTCACAGCTAGGCTCGTTCGGAGCCCCGGGGAGGGGGCGGGGGGCAGGCGCGGACCAGCCCAGGGGAGCTGGACCCTGAGGCGCCCAGAGGCAGGAGCACAGCAGTGCTGGGGCCAGGAGCGGGGCTGGCATCACGCTGGGGGCGTGTCAGAGCTGGGCTGGGGCGGTGCAGCTGTCGGCTCAGATCCCGCCCCCCATGCCAGCCGGCCCGGCTCTCCCATGCTGCTCTCCTGGTGCAGGGTGTGGATGTGATCGTCAATGCCAGCAGCGTGGAGGACGTGGACCCGGGGGCCATTGGACAGCGCCTCTCCAACGGCCTGGCTCGCATCTCCAGCCCCGTGCTGCACCGCCTGCGGCTGCGAGAGGATGAGAACACCGAGCCCGTGGTAAGGCCCCGCGTCCAGCCTGCCTGCCTCAGCCGGGCTGGACGGGGAGCCCCGGCCCGGTCCCCCACCTGCATCCCTCTCCCCAGCAGGTTAGAGAACCTGCCCCACCAGCCATCCCCAGCCGCCTGGCCCAGCCCCACTGCTCAGGATCTGGGTCTCTCAGCTGTGGGACTGGGGAGACGGGCCCTTATCTGGCACCTGTAGAGCCCTGTGGCCCCATGCTGCTTGGCTCCAGCATGGGGGTAGCTGATCCCAGGGTACCGCCAGGCTCTGCCCTCCCCCCCCCCCCACCACACACACTGATGCTGGGACACTGCTGCACGTCGCTGACCCCCGTCTGTTCCAGGGCACGACCTATCAGAAGACCGATGCGGCTGTGGAGATGAAACGGCTCAACCGGGAGCAATTCTGGGAACAGGCCAAGGTAGGGCCAGTGAGGGGCCAGCTAATGGGCTTGCCATGGGGCAGAGGCAGCAGTCTTGGGGCACCACCACCCCATATACCCTGGCTTGGCCCAGCCCGCAGGTCTCTGCAAAGCCTGAGCTGCCCTCAGCCCAGACGCTGCCTTCTGTCCTCTGCACTGCTCACCACCTGTGGCTGGGATGTGTGGCCCATGCCCAGGGTTGCCTTTGTCCTGGGCCTGCCCTTGAGAGCTCCCCTAAACCAAGTGGTGTCTGGGGTAGCCAGGCCAAACCTGAGCAGTGTTGCGACCCCATGCACCAGGGCGCGGTGCTCGGAGCAGGGAGCCGGGCCCAGCCAGGGGGACACCTCAGAGCGCGGTGCCGGGAGCCGGGGACACACTAGGGCGTGGTGCTCGGAGCAGGGAGCCGGGCCCAGCCAGGGGGACACCTCAGAGCGCGGTGCCGGGAGCCGGGGACACGACCAGGGCACGGTGCTCGGAGCTGGGAGCCGGGGATGCATCAGAGTGCGGTGCCGGGAGCCGGGGTCGCACCAGGGCACGGTGCTTAGAGCGGGGAGCCGGGCCCAGCCAGGGGGATGTATCAGAGCGCGGTGCCGGGAGCCGGGGTCGCACCAGGGCACGGTGCTCAGAGCGGGGAGCCGGGCCCAGCCAGGGGGATGTATCAGAGCGCGGTGCCGGGAGCCGGGGACGCACCAGGGCGTGGTGCTCAGAGCAGGGAGCTGGGCCCAGCCCGGGGAACAGGAGCTACTGCTGCAGGGTGAATGGGCCGGACTTGCTCTCCAGCATCCCTGCAGTGCCAGTTGGTTTGGAATGGGGAGGGATTAGGGGTTCACTGTCAGGTTTTGCCCCAAGTCCCCCCAAAAACCTCTCTGTGACTCTGCCCAGCTCTGGCTGCTGAGCAGGAGATTGTCCTTGAGCATGGCCCCTCTGGTGCTGCTCGGGGCCTCTGATGCCTCTCCACGGTGTACGTGGGGGTGTCCTGCGGGGCCTGGGGCAGGCAGGGCCCCTATGAGCTGTGGTGGGTGGATGGGGTCCCCATTGGGCAGGTAGGCAGGTCCCCTTGGCGCGGGCAGGCGGGCGGGCGGGTGGGGGCCCTGCAGGGCTGACGGGCTGCCCCCGCAGAAGGAGGAGGAGCTGCGGAAGGAGGAGGAGCGGCAGAAGGTGCTGGAGGAGCGGCTGCGCTTTGAGCAGGAGCGCATGGAGCAGGAGCGCATGGAGCAGGAGGAGCGGGAGAGGCGCTATCGGGAGCGCGAGGAGCAGATTGAGGAGCACAGGCAAGGGCTGGGCTCGACTTGGTTCTCAGGGGAGCTGTGGGAGGATTTGTGTCCCTCCCCCCCCCGTGTGGGCAGGGGATGAGGGGCTGTGTTCTTTGGAGGTGCTGACCCATGGGGCCCACTGGTGGGCAGGAGGCACCGGAGCGTGGGTGGGAGCTGATCGGGGGCTGCTGGTGGCTGCAGATTCACACACATGCTGAGATCAGCTCTGCATGGGAAGGCTCGGCTAAGGAACTGCCCAGCACTCAAGTGCACCCCCCCCTCTAGAGGGCAAACCCAAAATTACACCATCTTGCGCTGCACAGCGTAAGCTCCTGAAAGTCGCCCCCTCCCTCAATGTGGAGAGGAATAGAGACAGCTTTCTGCCCCAAGTTATGATTTCCACACACACACACTGGTCTTAGACAAAACAAAAGAAGTTTATTAATTCCAAAAGATAGATTTTAAGTGGGG